TGCATCATTACCCCTCCTCTTCTTCCATGCCTCCTACCACCTTCACAGACAAAGTCCTCACTCCACTTGAGCTCTGGACCCTGTCCCACACCCCTCTGCTCAGAAACACGTCTCTCCCACCAAACAGCCCCCATCAGCAGCCTCCATCCCACCAACCTCTACATATGCCTACATTTCTTCCTTCCCCAAAGGAGTGATCTAAGCCCTATCTTTTTTGTTGTTATTATTACTGATCTCAGAAAGGACAAGAGAGAGAGAGAGAGAGAGAGAAACATCAGTGATGAGAGAGAATCATCGATCGGCTACCTCCCACGTGTCTCCACTGGGGATCGAGCCCACAATCCGGGCACATGCCCTGACCAGGAATCAAACCGTGACCTCCTGGTTCATAGATCGATGCTCAACCACCGAGCCACGCGGGCGGGGCTAAGCCCTATCTTGCCATAAACATTCTGTTATACATCTCAACTTCTCTTCTCTTGAAAAAGCACTTCACACTTGGGTCTCCACTTCCTCACCTCCTACTCCTTCCTAGGCTCTGCAGTCTGGCCTTCACCCCACTTCACACAGACATGTCTCACAAAGGTCACCCCCATTGCCAAATCCAGTGGAAGCCTCTGATACTCATTTCTCTTGTTTCCTGAAACCTCTCCTCCACGCTCTTGGCTGCTCTGACATGGCCTGGCCTGGTTTTCCAGCGGCTCCTTCTCCTTCAAGAGCAGCTTTCTTCAAAGTTGGGTCCTAGGGCCAATCTCTCTCACATTCCTCCCTCTTCCTTCAGCCTCCTACACAGCTTTAATTATCATCTCCACTCTGAAGAGTCCCAAATTTCCACCCCAGCCCCAGGGGTGCCAGAGGCAAGAGCCACAGCAAACAAACGAAGAGCCTAGTGCCAATTAGAAGATGCCCCTTCCGCTGGACCAATTTGGGGCTTGGCTTGGCTTGGCATGGGCTGGACACCTCTCACGCAAAGTACAACCGAATCTACTTGCTGGTCGTCTCCTCCAGCTGGGTGTTCCCACCCATGAAACTTAACCCAACAAGTCCACCCGAGAAACCGACCCGCTCCTACGTTCCCACTTTAGCAAATGGCACCATCACCCACCCAACTTCTCAAGAAGACTGGGCCACCCTTGACTCCGCCCACTCTCCATGTCCCAGTGGCAAATCAGTCACCAAGTCTTGCTGACTCTCACTTTGCAGTCTCTCTAATCTTTCCTTTTCATATGTGTGTGTAGATTTTTTTTTAAGTTTAATGAGCCTCAGTTTCCTCACCTGTAAAATGGGGACAATAATAATATCAATAGTGTGAGAAGTAATCAAGGTAGGTAATGTACCTACAGTAGTATCTCAAGTATATAAAGGTATTCTGTGAATAATCCCCTGCCTCCTTAGTAGAATTAATTCTGAGTAATACTCCCTTACATTTGTTTAGCAGTTTGCAATTTTTTAAAGCCCATGCGCTGTTGTTTTCACTGAGAGACAATCTGTATAATGCTCAGCAAATGCAGCCAGATGACCTGGGTTCAAACACCAGCTCCACCTACTTACTCGCTATGTGAACGTGGGCAGGATATTTTTGTTGTTGTTGTTAATCCTCACCTGAGATGTTTTTCCATTGATTTTT